TCACTTCTGCCTTCGATCATGACAACTTAATTAGTTGTTCCTGCTGGATGTCAAAAGGTGCCATCTTTTAATAACATATATATAGCCATGAAATCTTTGAGATAATGGTTGTGTTGTGGATGACATTCAGACAGGAATTCCCCATTCACGTCAAGCCGTCTAAGCATAATTGCAAGAAATTAATCTGATTAAAAATTATTTCCTATTTGGCAATTCGGGAAAATATTTTTTGTTTCTTCAAAGTATTATTGAAATAACAGGAGAAGTGTACAGATGCTTTCAGCTTTGGTAAGAAAAAATCATAATGCTTACAGAGAACTAAGAAACCATCTCATTCAGTGATTTTTACTACTATTATATGCTTGTCTGTCTTCCTATCTATAACTTTAGAGATTTAGATATAGGTGTATATATATGTGTGTATATATGTAGTTCCCTAGATATAGATAGGTTCTGCTTGATAATTATGCATTAAGCTTTATTAGAAATAATCACAAACAGGCTTAGATTGGAAGGCAACTGGATTTTCGCTCAGTTTTATTCTGAAGACATTTCAACACTTATCTAGGAGCCTTTTTCAACTGAAGTCACTCCATCAATCCAGGAAGCGCTCCTTGATTAGCATCTGTCCTGGAATTATCAGGAGGATAGACCTTCATGCTACTTAAGAACATCGGCGCTCCAACAACTAATTGATCTGGGGCAAGTCGACAGCACTAACAAAGACTCTTGGATAGGTGTCAAAAAATTAACGAAAGTCCGACTGTCTTCCAATTTCAGCCTTTTGTGGTTGATATGACTTGGATGACCGAAAATTTACGCTGGCATTTACCGGAAATGGTTTAGGGACTGCAATAGCATGTAACAGAAAGGGTGGTGAGAAAAGAAGGGGATAAATGTTAAGCGAGAGAGAGAAAGATGGATGGAGAAAGAAAATATGAAAGGAGAAAATAAAGTTAGAAAAACATACAAGAAAACAAAAAACATTAAAAATGTACAGTAGCTCCTACAAGCTTGCTGCCTCACCAGCATAAAACAAGGGCGAATGAAACACAGTGGCCACAAGAAGAGCTAGTTTCCCATAGACATCCAGTCTATACAAGTATTTATAAAGAAAAACCTATATATATCTGTAGTTTCAGTATCGGTGTCTATCCATGGACACCTGGAAACAAACACCAGTGGTATAAATGCATGAGTTGGCATGTGTATAGTGGGTTTATGTGAGTTAAGAGGAGGTATTCCCATCGCAATAGACGTCCAAAGTGCTCTGCTGGAAGCAGAGGATTTGGCCTCCGTGGCACGAGCGGGTAACACGTCAGCTCCTCTCTTCCCACTGAGACAGGTGCAACGATCCCACGTCCCTGACATCAAAGGGTTGGTAAACATTCGGTTCTCAGCTATGTGTGCGATTGCCTGACATAATGGAGAGAGCTGTGCATTCCACTAATAGAATAACAGATAAGATCAAAGACTCCAACCTGCCAAGTAAGTCCCGTTCTTTTTCTGCTAGTAACCTAGTACCTATTTGGAGCTGTGGAAGAGCCCTTGCAACAGAAGTTTTCCCTTCAGACTCCCCTTCTTTCCCTGCATTAAAGCCCAGCCTGTTTTCCAGTGTAGTCCTGTTTCTCTGACCGTGACTGGCTGGATGTGCTCTCTTCATCCCCTGACATGGGAGCTTTTTGTATCTCTGCTTCTGTCTCCTCGAACCCCAGTCGGCCTCAGCAGATGGCCGCTCACACCGAGCCTGGTTCTGCTGGAGGTTTCTTCCTGTTCAAAGGGAGTTTTTCCTCTCCACTGTCGCTACAAGCACGCTTAGTGTAAGGGATTGCTGAAGAGTCAATGAGTCGATGCAATTAACTGGTTTCCCTTAGATAGAAAATTTTGAATCAATATCACTGGATGATGTGGTTCAACTGTAAAGTTCCTTGAAATGACACGTGTTGCGAATTGGCGCTATTGAAATAAACTGAATTGAAAACTTAATTGACCCGGTCTTTTTTTGGGTCCGGTTGACCTGTCCACCTAGATAGCAGCCCGAGGCCCACTCTCCTAGTGGTGAGATTCATGGATCGCTTCCATCAGTCTAGACCATTGCCATTTCTTTGCCTTCTATTTCACCAAGAAGGCTAATCAAAATGTCCCGCCAGAAGAATCAAAGGACTTTTGGAGTTTTGCAGATGTGATTGTAGATCCATGTTCTCCTCAGGTTGTGTGCAATTACTTGGCAGACCTTGACACAGTGTCAAATTGGCTCCAGTCCTTCTCCATCTCAGAGGACATAAGAAATGTGTCACTAGAACGTCCTATAAGTCTGAATGGACTCTTCAACCTCTATTTTGGAGCAAGTTACCAAATCCACTCTGCCCTGGAACTCATACCTCTCACTTCATTTTAATGGAGGACGGTCAAGTGAAGATAACCCTTGGTTGCTGCCACAGCTTCCCCAGCTCGTCTATCCACGGGCGGCACAGCACTTCCTCCAGCCCAGTGCCTCAAAAATGAGAAGCAGGTGCGTCTAGTTTTCCATCTGACCTCCAGGAACAGGACACAGGGGCACCAAAAAATGGCCTGGGGGTTGTTTGGGCTTGCATGGAAACCACTGCATAAATTACCTGGGAGGTGTTCGACATCACCAGACATCTGCTCTGCTGGACATGGATAAATCTTCTCTACAACATACTGAAAAAGGAACTAACATCATGATAAAGACGATTGGAGCCTCCATCCTAAACTGCCTATGAGCTGGAGCAGAAGCAGGGGTGGACTGAGTCGCTACCCATGACGATGCACAGTGTCAGTTGTAGTTTTCATTTTGAGGAACCACTGTTAGCATTCCGTTGCCACAGACGCTATGTTGTTCTTCCCACCATGCTTGCTCTAAAGCTCCTGGAAATGGATCAGGCGCTTAGGGTTGACACCCACTAGAAGAGTGAGTGATTTATCTGTATATCAGGTGGCTCATTTCTGTCAGAGATTATAAGACAACGTCAGCACAGTCATACCTCCCCAGCCCTGCTTCAAACCCAAAGCATTGAAGCTTTATTTATGGCTCCCATCCTGTCAGACCAACCTGCTTCCTTATGAGGCACGCATGGCTACACAGTGTCACACCAGGCATCAGTTTGTGCTTTATGGAGATAACGGTAGGACAGCATCTCTCCGCTCAGGGCCTTTTACACTGCTTATCAGAGGCTTTGTTTTGCTTTTTTAATTTAATCATCATTAGAAGTTCAGAACTTGCAACACAGAGAGGATTTCCTCCAGAGCAGCACACAGAGGGATGAGAGAGGAAGAGTTTTGCAGGACAGCTACTTGGTCATCTTTGTGCTCATTCGTTTGTTCTGATGTTTCCTCTATGATCCGTTATACTCTGAATTCTGACTGATTATTTGATTATCTTTTTGTACTTTAGTAGCAACAAACTACTGCCTGCTAGCAAGGGGTGAAATCAGAGTTTTTATGCAGCTTCAGACTGTGTCCTCTGCCATTGTAGTCCTTGAATTTCATCTGCCCCCCACCCCCACATATATAAACATATTCAGATTTTATTCTGTGTATTCAGACTCTTATTTTTCAATATACTTATACATTAATTCAGATTCCATTCCTACTGTTCAGACTTTCATTCTATATAATGAGACTTGAATCTATACAATAAGACTTTTATTCCTTATATTGTGAATTTCATTCTATATATTCAGACGTTCATTCTGTTTGTTAAGTGTGTTTAAGAAGCACATCTAGAGAGGACAGCTGGAGATGTTTGTAGTTCAGTGGAGCTGGGTTGGTGAATGAGTTACATGTTGTGGTCATTCTGCTTAAAGTACATATTTTATGTTTTAACATTTAAGAAAAACTGTAACACTTTTATTCCATATATATCTTACTGAGATGTTTTTTGTAAATTGAGATTTTCCTCATATGTATGCAGACTTTGATTTCATATATTCAGTTTTTGGTACACATATGTGACTTTTTGTCAGGTTTTTGTGGTGTTTTGAATCACTATAGGCTGCAGGTCTGTTTTTTTATCTTTGTTTGTTAAAGGTCTGATATTATTAGGCTAGGTAAATATAAATAAAATAAAATACACTAATAATGATTCTGTAGATATTATAACTGTTTTGTAACTTACTGACATTTAACTTTGGCTGTCATTTTAAAAACCTGTAATTTCAAGTAAAGAATGTATGTTAAAATCATCTTTCTGCTCCATCTGGAGGTTCTGCTTTAAGAGTACAGCATCTGATTGATCTACATCTATTCTGCTCATTCTGGCATTGCTTTTATCAGAGCAAGGCTGAACAATATTATTACACATTTAGATATTCATTTAAGAAATGAGGGTAAAAAAACAAAACAAAAGAAAATTAGATAAACAAATAAGCAGAAAAAGGAAAAGCAAAAATTGTAAAATTCAAAGAAGAACAACAAGAGTAATGACAGCAATTCAATTTTAAAAGGGATTAAGAACAAGAACGTTTATTCGTCAGTAATTACAAGTTAATTTCAGTAACCTGTCCTTGAAAAGCAACCAAAACCTCCTAAAAGTAAATACTAAACATATATATATATATATATATATATATATATATATATATATATATATATATATATATATATATATATATATATATATATATATGTTTAGTATTTACTATATATATATATATATATATATATATATATATATATATATATATATATATATATATATATATATATATATATATATATATATATTACCAGACAAAAAATATTTAAATACGTTAACATATCTACCCAAACCAGTGGGAAATAATACACATATTTAATCAAACTATTAACCTACAATGTCATCTGTCCATTTACCAGCTCCTTCTGTTAAATGTCAAATATTACTTAAGACATTAATACAAATACAATAAATTGTGTTTTTATTGTGTTTATATCTTAAATAACGCAACTGGTTTCGTTTCTTTTCACCCTCTCGGGCTTCTGTAGTGTTTATGTGTTAATCCGGAAGTAAATCTGTCACCCGGCGACATAAAAATGGCGGAGTCGAAGGAGGAGGTTGACGTTTTGGTGCAGAGAGTTGTCAAAGACATCAGCAGCGCTTTTAAAAGGCATCCTAACATGTAAGTGTGTTTGACTTTAGACGCCATCGGCCGTTTTGTGGGGAAATAGTGAACGGTGACGTCACAACATCCCGGATCAGACGTCCTACCAGCGGCTGGAAGCTGCACATAGAAACTTCAGTGTTTGACCATCCTGTTTAGTTTTTGTTTCTCCACGTAGAGACATCTTTCTATGAAACATTGCTGACCATAATAACAGAATATAGATGTATGATGGAAAGGCGTGTTAAGGGAAGCAGACCTCTTAATGTTCTGCATTGGTCACTATTTACCGCAAACATTTGCTACAATTTCCCTAAAATCCGCTGTTAATGGGCACTAAGGCTGCTTCCTGCGTCCGTTTTAATCCAGAAAATCACAGAAAGGCTCTTAAAATATTCACCAACAGCAAACAAGTTTCAGTTCAACTCAATTTAGTTCCATTTTCAGGAGAAGAATGTGGATATTTGTTGTGTCGTGGTTTTCATCAATGCCATGGCATATTTATCTGAATACTTAATATTGAATCATTTCAGATGTTCCAGAGATTTAACCGTAAATGTGCGCTTGTGGTCTGACGACATGCCCTCTCTGGGTGGGAGGGAGGGGGAATAAAGTCAGCTGTCTGTGCCTGAACCGCTTTAAAAACATCCAGGAGCTGCGCATGCGCAGTAGCTGTTTACCAATGAAAATTTTCTTGACGTGTAGCACTAAGCATATATTCCAAGAAATGTTCAGTTTGAAAATTGTTTACTACATTTTTTTCAAACATCCTCTAAAAGCTATTTTAGATATTTGTTCTTTAAGAATTTTTATGATTGAAATTGGTTTTATTTGTTTCTGATATAAGGTTGTAAAGTTCTTCTTACAAAGCTTAAGCTCGGAGCTCGTCTGCCTGGCTGTGTGTTTCCTGGACGGGGCCGCCTTTTACAGCCGCTTTTTGTATCTCTGCTTCTGTCTCCTTGAACCCCAGTGGGCCTCAGCAGATGGCCGCTCACACTGAGCCTGGTTCAGCTGGAGGTTTCTTCCTGTTAAAAGGGAGTTTTTCCTCTCCACTGTCGCTACAAGCATGCTTATTGTTAGGGATTGCCTTTGAGTCGATGCAATCAACTGGTTTTCCTTAGATAGAAAACTTTGAATCATTTGGCTGGATGATCTGTTAAACTGTAAAGTGCATTGAGATGACATCTGTTGTGAATTGGCACTATAGAAATAAATAATTTAATTATATTTTTCACTGTTAAAAGCTAAAACTGCCCTGAAAGGATACTTTTCCTTTTAAAAATTCCCTTTTCTCTGCATTCATATTAGCAGCAACATCACAGTTTTTCCCCAAACATAACGGTGAATAATAAAAAAGCATTTTCATAAAAATGTAATATAATGTCATATGTAATTTGTAACTAAACAAGACAATATTGTTTTGTAGCTACATTTTTTATTCTTAGTGATTTTAGTTTTAATTAATAAGCAGAGAAAATATGGCTTTTTTATGCCAGCAGTCAATGCAGGATGAAAGACATGTGGATGCATGTTATATCTGTAGAAAAGTTTTCTGTTACTGACTAAATAATGCAAACTCTGCCCCCAGTCCTGATGCTTGTTATCGGTCTGTTTTTAGTGATGAAATTGGCCTCATCCAGTGTCCGGAGGCACGCTACAACCGCAGCCCCATCGTGTTGGTGGAGAATAAGCTGGGCGTTGAGAGCTGGTGCGTCAAGTTTCTGCTGCCGTATGTCCACAACAAGCTGCTGCTCTACCGCCAACGGAAACACTGGCTAGACAGAGAAGGTATCTGTGTGTATTAATGGTGCTTTCCCATCATGTTGTTTATCAGGGCAGCTGGGCTGTGATGAGACAAGCAGTGGGATGTTGGTTCCTTCATCATATAATTGGATTTATTTCCGGTTTAAAATGAAGCTTTTGTCTGAATTATTCTTTAATCATCAATCAGTTCAGCTTTTAATGAATCTCTGGACTATATAGGTTTTTTTTTTATTAGGATTTTCCTATTTGTCTTGTTTGTTGTTGCACTGCTGAGGCAAAGTGTGTGTTTTGTGTCCTACAGCTCTAGTGGATATTACTTGCACGCTTTTGCTGCTCAATCCAGATTTCACCACAGCCTGGAATGTCAGGTAAAGGAAAATTTCAACTAACACATTTTATAACTGTCTTTACCTCTTGAAGAAACTGTGGAAGAAAATTTTGTTCCATTATTTTTACAAGGAAAAAAGAAAAACGTTCATCTATCCATCTTCTTCCACCTGTCCATCAGGGTCATGGTTGGGCAGATTTCTTTCTCCTGCAGGCTGTGGGTGGAAAAAAAAAAAAAGTCGTCTCTGGACAGGTCGCCCATCTATCACAGGGCAGGGACATGCAGCCATGCACACACACCCTCACCAACAAGGGGCCTTTTGAGCCTAATGCTACGTTCACACCGAACATGATTTCAGCAGCAAAAAAGCGCCTGCTGCTTTATTTTTTACGCTTGTCCACATTAAGATCAGATGCGCCTCAAGAGCATCTTTAATACTCCTGAAGCGCATCCAGTAAAGTGCATCCAGATGGGTCTGATGCTTCTGCTGCTCCTGTATTCAATGGCAGAGAGCAGCTTTGCTATGTTTGCTGTGATCAGTGGGTAAAAAGTAGTCTGAATATGTTTTTAAGTGAGAAAATCCACCTGAAAACATGGTCTGTGCAGTCAGTTCATCCAGATTACCATCCTGCCTTCAAAGATTATTTGGAGCTGCTCAGACCTCCACATACCGGCGCTGCGCTGTCACTGGGAATCCCCAGCAGCAGCTGCCTCAGGCCCGCTCGCCTCTTGGGGGTTTTGCCCTACTGTTGGTGGCGGCTGGAACTACATTTTAGTGTTTGTCAGGTATGTGGTCCAAACTGCAGGAACCAGGATAATAAAAGTGAACATATTCTGCCGGCAGGTTTCGACATGTTAAGTTAATTTAGACGTTAATAAACTGTTTCAGAGGAGTGATCATAGCGCTCTGCATCAGCAGTGCTGTGTCTGACTCCCTGCCAGCTCCCAGATCAGCTTCTCTGATTGGTTGATGTGGCGCGTCCAGCAGCAAAAATTCAATTTTTCCAACTCCAGCAGCTGATGCTATTGAAGCGCGTCACACGCCTCAGAAGCTCATGAGACGCTGCTTCAGATCCTCCAAACATGCTGCAACCTTTTGATGCAGCTTGATGCATATCAACCTTTGACTTTGCATAGAAAGCTTCTGCTTCTCGATTTGCTTCCGGTGTAAACAGTCGTGTTTTTGGAATGTGGGAGGGAGCTGGAGTTCCCAGAGAGAACGCGCACACGCTAGGAACATGCAGAGGAACATGCAGATTTCTAATTTGTAAATGGAAATTTGAAAAGTAACATTTGAGAGCTTCTTAATTCAAAAAGGTTTTAAGAGTAACTTTTCTGGTTTCTCTAATTTTATACAAAAAATTATTCTGTCTTTCATATTTTTACATTTGTTTTAATTTTTTCATTTAATACTTTTTTCAAAAAAAAAATTTCAGATTTTTATGAACTGGCTTTTTTCCCCCCAGATTTACTCTACAGACTCCATATTCTTTATCTCTGGGGGCGGGCTTTCCTCTGGAGGGAGGAGCAACGATGCATTTCTATTGGTCAGCATTGGTCCTACTGTAGCAACAAGATGTTTGTTTGTTGGTTGAGGCTGTAAAACACAATCAATGCATTTCATTAAACTAAAGCTGAAAAACAGAATTAAAATGAAATGAAATCTTAAAAAAAATGTTCAAAAAGGTTTGGAAATAAAACGATAAAAAAATAAATCATAAAAAACAAGTTACTCTTAAATCCTACTTTTGATTAAGAAGTTTTTTAATGTTTCATTTCAGGATTTAAACACAACAGTGGAACAAAAATGACTCCATAACAAACCATTCCATGAGAAACCAATGACACCTAAATGTTTCTGCAGGGTAGACGTTTGAAGCTCCTTAAATTGTTTAAATCTGTTAATGGTTATTGAAAAAAAATGCTTGTTTTTTCAAATTGGTTATAAAGTTCTTGTTGAATTTCTTCTCTCTGTTCTGATGCTTCTGGTTTGAACGTGGCTCAAGGGATGATGATGATGATGATGATGATGATGATGATGATGATGATGATGATGATGATGATGTTTGCTGTTACAGAAAAGAGCTGCTGCAGTGTGGTGCTCTCAACCCAGAAAGGGACCTCTACCTGAGCAAGCTGGCTCTCACCAAATTCCCCAAAAGCCCTGAGACGTGGATCCACAGGTGGGCCTTTAGTGGAACAAAGCAGTGCTGTATGACATCAAGGGTTTAGTAACCAGTGGGAAACAGGGAATTATCAATTCTGGGAATGTACCAAACAAAGATGGCGTCTTTTAAACCAAATGGGGCAGAGAGGACTCCCAACGTTCCCAGCACTGTTTGGAAACTACCTGAGTGAAGTTGGCCGCCCACCTTCTTCAAATCAGACAAAATTAGTGTCAAACGTTTGTGCAGCAAAAATTTTCGTTTGTGCTGCTTTGGATTTGAAGATATTAATGAAAATGTAAAGGTCAAAAGGTCAACCAGCCCCCCCACCTTCTTAAAATTAGACAAAATTAGTGTCCAACGTTTGTGCAGCAATAATTTTCGTTTGTGCCGCTATCATTTTAAAGATATAAAGAAATATTTCTAGAGGTCATCAAAGGTCAACCAGCCCCCCCACCTTCTTCAAATTAGACGAAATGGGTGTCAATTAACTCAGCTCCGTTTGTGCTGGTTTGTGCAGCACACATTTTTGTTTGTGCTGCTTTGGATTGGAAGATTTGAAGAAAGTGGGGGGGGGGGGGGCTGGTTGACCTTTGATGACCTCTAGAAACATCTCTTTATATCTTTAAAATGAAAGCGGCACAAACGTAGCACAAACGTTTGACACCAATTTTGTCTAATTTGAAGAAGGTGGGGGGGCTGGTTGACCTTTTGACCTTTACATTTTCATTAATATCTTCAAAGCCAAAGCAGCACAAAGGACAATTTTTGCTGCACAAACTGAGCTGAGTTAATTGACACCCATTTCATCTGATTTGAAGAAGGTGGGGGGGCTGGTTGACCTTTGATGACCTCTAGAAATATTTCTTTATATCTTTAAAATGATAGCGGCACAAATGAAAATTTTTGCTGCACAAACGTTTGACATTAATTTTGTCTGATTTGAAGGAGGTGGGGGGGCCAACTTCACTCAGGTTTGGAAACTTTGAGGTTCCTCCTTCAGATGCAGGGAGCACTGGAGATGCTTTTAGCCTGAGTTATTCCAAACCAATAATGTATGAAAGGATTCCCACATATATCTGGATTTTTTTTAAAGTATGCCCACAGATTTTCTTTAAAGAAATGATGCAATATTTTTGAAATCCTAAAGTTTTTTTTCATAATCTATAAATCAAATTAAATGGTCAATTTTTCCAACTGTTCACAAACCTTATAGCTGAATTCAGCTGAAATGGCATCATGCCAAACAGCACAGCCTGGTTTATTAAAAGCTCTGATTTATGGAAACATTTTCATACATTTAATTTTCTTTAAGGATAAAAAAATAATAATAATCTTAGGCTACGTTCACACGTTCTTTTTCTTTCTTCTGCCCATATGCGACCTGGATCTGCTCTTTTCATGACAGTCTAAACAACAGAGATCTGATTTTTTTCCCAATGTGACCCAGAACACTTGGCTGTTTGGTCCTGAACCCGTTATCAATCTGATCTTTTCAAGTGCGACCTGCATTCATCTGACCTGTACATCAGTAACACTCGACAAAGGTCACTAGTCTGCGTCTTTCTACGCAGAAGTGGGAAGAAAACCTGACAATCATGGCAGGCAATGATGCAGAGAGTAGTCTTTATTTTCAACCCTCTAGAAAAGATTGTGTTGTTAATGAACTGGCTGAGGTTAGGATGGAAATGAAAGATTGTAAGATCACGGTCGCTGCTTGTGACATCACTGCTTCCTCTACTGCACATGAAGGACATTGATTTTTAAAAAAAAGCTGACCTCAGCTAATGTTAAAGCAGAGCAGCTAAATGCAGTAATGAAGGAGTGAACAGCTGCACCTATTAGCTGAGGCTGCTATTTCCGCTCGTCTCAAGATGAAAAACAGTTGGACAGATTTTCATACAGATTGTGAATAAACAAGATTTTTACTAGATGCTGGTATAGAAATACACTATATTGCCAAAAGTATTTGCTCACCCATCCAAATTATTGGAATCAGGTGTTCCAATCACTTCCATGGCCACAGGTGTATAAATTCAAGCACCTAGGCATGCAGACTGTTTTTACAAACATTTGTGAAAGAATGGGTCGCTCTCAGGAGCTCAGTGAATTCCAGCGTGGAACTGTGATAGGATGCCACCTGTGCAACAAATCCAGTCGTGAAATTTCCTCGCTCCTAAATATTCCACAGTCAACTGTCAGCTGTATTATAAGAAAATGGAAGTGTTTGGGAACGACAGCAACTCAGCCACGAAGTGGTAGGCCACGTAAACTGACGGAGCGGGGTCAGCGGATGCTGAAGCGCATAGTGCGAAGAGGTCGCCAACTTTCTGCAGAGTCAATCACTACAGACCTCCAAACTTCATGTGGCCTTCAGATTAGCTCAAGAACAGTGCGCAGAGAGCTTCATGGAATGGGTTTCATGGTCGAGCAGCTGCATCCAAGCCATACATCACCAAGTGCAATGCAAAGTGTCGGATGCGGTGGTGTAAAGCACGCCGCCACTGGACTCTAGAGCAGTGGAGACGCGTTCTCTGGAGTGACGAATCGCGCTTCTCCATCTGGCAATCTGATGGACGGGTCTGGGTTTGGCGGTTGCCAGGAGAACGGTACTTGTCTGACTGCATTGTGCCAAGTGTAAAGTTTGGTGGAGGGGGGATTATGGTGTGGGGTTGTTTTTCAGGAGCTGGGCTTGGCCCCTTAGTTCCAGTGAAAGGAACTCTGAATGCTTCAGCATCCCAAGACATTTTGGACAATTCCATGCTCCCAACTTTGTGGGAACAGTTTGGAGCTGGCCCCTTCCTCTTCCAACATGACTGTGCACCAGTGCACAAAGCAAGGTCCATAAAGACATGGATGACAGAGTCTGGTGTGGATGAACTTGACTGGCCTGCACAGAGTCCTGACCTCAACCCGATAGAACACCTTTGGGATGAATTAGAGCGGAGACTGAGAGCCAGGCCTTCTCGTCCAACATCAGTGTGCGACCTCACAAATGCGCTTCTGGAAGAATGGTCAAAAATTCCCATAAACACACTCCTAAACCTTGTGGACAGCCTTCCCAGAAGAGTTGAAGCTGTTCTAGCTGCAAAGGGTGGACCGACGTCATATTGAACCCTATGGATTAGGAACGGGATGTCACTTAAGCTCATATGTGAGTCAAGGCAGGTGAGCAAATACTTTTGGCAATATAGTGTAGGTTATGTAGGTTCAAACCACACACAGGTTATGTTTTTAGAATAGAATAGAATAGAAAATCCCATATAGGGATAGCGAAAAAGGGTTGTTACAGCAGCATTACAGGTAAAGTGATCACACAAGTGTGGACCTTAAAAGTAAATAAAAATAATAGAATATGCTGTTGAGTTAAAAAATAAACAAATAAAATACTGTACTCTACAGTCATTTTACAATATAAATACCGTACTGAAGTATAGATAATAAATATTCAGCTATGGACATTTTTACAGTAATGGATATTACTTATTAACCTGACTCCGCCAGATGGATTTGCTCCGCATATCCATCTGGAAACCTTCCGTTGAAGTAATTTTGGGAAGGGGCGAAAATACTGGTTAGCTGATTGGCCTATGTTGGTGATAGACGGGCCAAATAAACCAATCAGATCAACGAAGCATATGACGTACTAACAGAGCGACGACGAAGAGGAGCCAATTGATAGATCAAACTCTTGCCGAAACCAGTCGGGAGAAGAGCAAAAACATATTTTCCTCTGAGAAAAGCCTCCAGAGCAGTGTTTTGCTCTTCTTTCAGTGAAGAAATACTCTGTAATTCCGATAAAACTTGCTCGATAGCCACGCTAACGCTAGTTTCATCGGCTGAAGCCGCCATGTTCTTTAGACTGAGCTGTCGCGCTTCTCGTTGCGTCACACCTCAACCCGCCTCAAAGCCAACGCTGATTGGACGTTCGTTTGGTGAACGGCTCCAAATTTTCTTTAACGGAGAGTCTCCAGACTGATCTGCGAGTGAAACCTTGAAAGCTTGCGAGATCAGGATGGTCTCACGACCATCTTATTGACTCATCTAATTACTTATTGAGGTTGTTGGGAACAGTGGTGGTTCTAGACTCTTCCAGCTGCTGGGAGGAAGGATCTGTGATAACGCTCCCTGGTGCATTTAGGGTGCAGAAGTCTGCCACTGAAGGAGCTCTCCAGTTCAGCACCAGCTCCATGCATGGGAGGAGGTGGGGCATTATCCAACAGAGATGTTCATTTAGTTAGGATCCGTCTTTTCCCACCTCATCTCTGAGTCCAGAGGGCATCCAATCACAGAGCTGGCCTTCCTGATCAGCTGATCCAGCCGCTTCCTCTCAGCTCCAGATAAGCCACTGCTCCAACAGACAGCTCCATAGAAGATGGCTGATGCCACAACAGAGTCATAGGAGGTCCTAAGGAGCGCCCCCTGCACTCCTCTGCCGGAAGAGTCTCCTCTGCTCTTAGAGAGCCGTAGACCAGTCTAGTTAATCATTCAGGTGGATAGCCAGGTACTTACCCAGGTTTTTCAGAGCTGCCACTGAACTGTAGAAGCTGCAGGACTTTATCCTCCACCTAAATAACAGAAACCAACCACTGTATGTGCAAAAAGAATGTCTAATTCTGAGCCCTCTGCTGATAAAACTGTTCCACTGTCTCTCTCTGCAGGCGCTGGGTGCTTCAGCACATCCTGCATCAGATGTCTGCTGTGGTCCACAAAGCTCAGCAGCAGGTTGAAGCAGAGCCGCCTGATGCAGAACGGACCCATCTTTTAAATAATCACCTGGACAGGTTAATCCACCAGGAGATGAAGGTGTGCTCTGATGCTGCCTGCCGCTATCCTAGTAATTACAACGCCTGGTCCCACCGCATCTGGGTGCTGCAGCACATGGCCAAGGGCGACATAAAGGTTGGATTATTAGATGAAGCCGCAGCTATAAAGCTGCAACATTATTTTCTTATTGAGGATTTTATTGGCCAGGCCTTTAGGGTCATCCTGGATGTTAACTTTGCTTTTATCATTTTGCTGATTTTTTTTGTTTCGTCCAGGAGCCAAATGAATGTTGGGATTTTGGGTTTAAAGATCACAGCGGATTTGGAAATTAGATTTCTCTAAACTGCAGCTGAATCACATTGAATGTATTTAATTCAGTTTATTTATGTAGCTCTAATTCATTTTACGGTATCATCCAGCCCAGAGGAGTTCATCACTTCTAAAATTTTTTATCTAAAGTCTTTTTTTTTTCCTGAGGAGGTGAGACAATTTGCCAATGGAGACAATATACATTTAAAATAAGAAAAAACAATTGCATTTTCTTATTTTAAGTGTATATTATCTAACTATCTTATATTAAGAGTAGAAATACTAATTTCATTTTAAATCATCCTATTTATCTGCTCAAATTAAGGGTAAATACGCTCCCATTTACCTCTGTTGTTGTTCTGCTTTCTTCTTGTTAAAGGGGAGTTTTCCTCCCCACTGTCGCCACATGCAGGAGCGAATCTTGTAAATCAATGTTTAATCTAGAAACGTAGAGAGTTCTAGGTTGATCTTTAACATCAAACCTGAGACAGAAAACAAACCTGGGTGGTCCAAATTTACTAGACATTTTATTTTCACTACCTTTTACGAGATGAGATAACAAGAATTTCTGATTTATTGTCATGTTTTCATTTTGTAAAGATTTTTTATTTAAGAAATATTTTCTGATTGCATCAAGGAATTGACTTTTCAGCAATCCCTCTTTTTGAATTAGAATGTGATGACAGTGTCCTGGATAAATATTGTGGAGTCACTGATGTTCTCAGGGTTTCCTTCCCTCTCCATCCCATCGTTTAGACCAGGCATGTCCAAAGTCGGCTCTGAGGGTCGCTGTCCTGCAGGTTTTACAGGTTTCCCTGCTTCAGCACAGCTGAGTTCCACTGATAGCTGATTAACAGACTTTTGCTGAACTGTAATCATCAGAATCAGCTGTGCTGAGGCAGGGACACTTCTAAAACCTGCAGGTCAGCGGGCCTCGAGGATCGACTTGTTTTGATATTTTCTTTTACTCCAACCCTCCTAATGCTTCCTTACCTTCCTTGCTAGCAGTCTACCTCCTTCCTTTGATCCGTACTTCTTTTCTCCTTCCGTCGTATACGTCCATCCTTGAGCTTCACCTGCTTCCTTCTTCGTTATCTTTCCTTGCTCCCTTCCTCCTTCCCTCCTGTATGTCCTTCTTCATTTCTTTTTACTAGGGATGCAAGATATCGATGAATGAATTAATCTAAAACTCAAACATCTCATATAAATCTTAAGAAAAAACAGTTTTTTTTTCCTGGGTCCAGAGGATCTTTCCATAACCCCAAGGGCTAAATATTTTTAACAATATGCTGAATTGAAATGTATTATTATTATTACTATCCATCCACTTGGTGGGGAATTATTTAATTCACCAGCCGTATTAAATATGGACTGAATAAATAAAACAATGTTTTCTTAGACATTAATAAAGTTGTTAGTAAGATATAGCAAAACAGTGACCTATTGAATAAAATAAAACAACTGAAATATGTGAATCAAAATTTTTAATGCACAGAGATAAATAAAACAATCATTAAAAAGTATGGAGTGAATTTTGGTCCATTATTTGCTCCAATCTTGTAAAAAACACACAGTCTATATATATTTTTATATATATATATATATATATATATATATATATATATATATATATATATATATATATATATATATATATATATAGGCATTCTTTTCAAACTGTGTTGCCTGGTCCCATTCTCGTCCAGCTGACCAATAGAAATTTGTTTTTGCTCCTCATATCAGGGGGAAAGCCCGCCCCCAGAGGTGTAGAGAATATGAGCTGGAAAATTCTAGCTAAAAGACTAGCAAATTCCAAACTTTATGTATAAATGATCTAAAGGAACTCCTTTATTTTAAATAAATATTTGATGGTCTGGTCTGTCGATTTCGGGCCGGATCCTGCAGCTGTTGAATGTTTGAAGCTTCTGTGGTAAAACTCAGCAGCTGATCTGCCTCTCCTGCATCATTTCTTCCCAGGTTTTCCACGATGAGCTGTCATCTGTGCATCGGTGGGTGTCCATGCACGTGTCTGACCACAGTGGCTTTCACTACCGCCAGTTCCTCCTCAAGGAGTTAATCAGCGATCTGAGCCAGTCATCTGATTCGACTGGCACAACCTGCTGTTCAGCCCAGCACCGCAGTGCCAGTCCTCAGGCCAACGGTGAGCTCTCATTGGCTGATTCGGCCAGCGCGGATAGGCTCTCTGCTGTCCTACAGCTTTTTCACCAGGAGATTGAACTTTGCACCGAGCTGATTGAATCCTTCCCTGGACATGAAGCCCTCTGGAGTCACAGGTGAGAGGTTATTCTAGTCTTTATTGCTGCAGCAGAATAAAATTTACCCTTTTAAAGGAAAATTCCGGTCAGCAAGGAATAACCAATGGATCATTTATTTATAGCTAAAACTAATACGTTTGCAGTGATTCAATGAATTTAGCGTAATCAGTTAAAAAAAAAAATTAAAAACAATAATTTTCATCACAATCAATTCAATTCAATTCAGTTTATTTATATAGCGCCAAATTCACAACACATGTCATCTCAAGGCACTTTACAGTTCAACCAGATCATACAGTCAAATTGATACAAAGTTTTCTATCTAAGGAAAACCAGTTGATTGCATTGACTCATTGACTCAAATACAATCCCCCACACTAAGCATGCTTGTAGCGACAGTGGAGAGGAAAAACTCCCTTTTAACAGGAAGAAACCTCCAGCAGAACCAGGCTCAGTGTGAGCGGCCATCTGCCGAGGCCGACTGGGGTTCAAGGAGACAGAAGCAGAGATACAAAAAGCAGCTGTAAAAGGCGGCCCCGTCCAGGAAACACACAGCCAGGCAGACGAGCTCCAAGGCAGCTCCCATGCCAGAGGACGAAGAGAGCACATCCACTCAGTCACGGTCAGAGAAACAGGACCACACTGGAAAACCGGCCGATCTCCAACATCTATAAACAAGGGTGTTGATAGAAGCAGCACAGCTGATGTTTCTTTCCAGGATGACGTCACAGCCAAACAGGAACAGACGAGGCAAAGCTACTCTGAGGAAAAGCAGAGAGAGCAGAAGGTTAGAGATTGAACTAACAGATTCTGCAGAATAGGAGAACAGAGAGAGAATGAAGCAGAATGATGAAATGGGGGTCCCTATGTCCTCCAAAAGTCTAAGCCTATAGCAGCATAACTATAGATCACTGAGTCTGGGAGCGGCCATTTTTGCCCAAATATAGTAACCCCTCCCTCCTGCCATCTTCCAGCAGTGACGTCACGGTGCGGTAAGCCTAGCGCCATTCTCCCCGCTTTACAAGCTAAATCAATGGGAACTAGGGGTGTAAATCACATCCATCATGGCGATTCGATTCAGTATCGATTTTCTGACCCAACGATTCGATTATTTTAGATACTCAAGAATACACCATGATTCGATTCGATTAATCGGTAAATTATTTATTTATTTATTTTTATTTATTTATTTTTTTACACCTTACAGGCTAAACAAAGTTTCAAGTTTGAAATAAATCAATGAAAGCTGTAATATCGTTATGCATTTTTTTTTTTTTTAGAAACAACAGCAAATAACAGAAGTAGAAAAGTTGCATCAAAAAATACTGCAGAAATACTGCACATAATCAGTGCAATGAGTGCAATGCAATACCTCGGCTCCAGACGATCCGCTGCTCCTCTCCCAAATTGTAGCTGACCGCAGACAGTGCCGCAGACAGGAGGCCGGCTTGTTTTGTTTTTATGACCGAAATTGCGGAAAACAACTCGTGAAGTTTGACCCGCTAGAAGAGCGAGGTGCACAAGAACGCTGGGACCCTTTTTCCACCTGGATCTCTGCTCTTTTTGGCCCTCATGTCCCTCCGTCGTCGGACTAAACTCGCCCCCACTTCCTCGCTGCCTCGGCCGTATCTAGACCCACAGCGTGTAGCTCAGACCACGCTTCAATATTGAGCATAATTTAAAAATGTCTGCATCAAGCTCACTGCAACACACTGCTGTAAGAGTATAACCAGGAAGCGAGGTAGGAGGGCAAAATAGGTTTAGCGCCACCGCAGCACGGGAGGGAGAATTACGCCCAGGAGCAAATGGATAAAAATAGACCGGAGGAAAAAAAACATGAATCGATTCTCTTGCGGACGTGATACAAAACGATTATTATTTACACCCCTAATGGGAACTACTAGACACATCTGCAATCAACAACAATTATTGAAGATTTCCAGAGGACTTCACCATTGAACTTCACCAGAGCTATAGTGAAACTGACAATGCCCACGTGCATGGCAGCTGGATGCTGGAATACATCGGGTAAAAGTGAAAAAAAAAGAGTTATTCCACCTTTCTGATTCCTGATCCTCCACGGACGGGTTGGTCGTTGGATCGCCAACTTGAAGAGGGAGGATTTGCCATCGAACTTCTGGCCAGAGAAAAAACCCGTAATATGTAGCCAACATTTGGAAGAAGAATGTTTTCAAGATGACTTGGATAATAGCGCGTTGTGACAAACACCAGATACAGCACTGGGACTTGATCAACAGCCGATACCGCACCGTGACGTCACAAACCAGTAGGTGGCAGTAGTGTTCTTTGACAAACATGGATGCCTCCAGTAAAGCACATTCACATGAAAATTACTCTGAATTAAAAACACTTATCATTAATGAACAGTATGTAATAATTTCATAGTTAAAGTACTTTCAGAAGTTTGTATTTTGAATCCGACCGGACTTTTGCTTTAATACGTTTATGTTTGTAATGTTTTCATTAATATCTCCAGATGGTTAAAAGGTTAAAGGAATTTAAATTTACAAACATTCAGGCCCTTTTTAGTTGGAGCATAATATGTTTCTATCGGGTTATAAAATATTTTTTCAGTAATAAAATGCAGTTTTAACGCCTCCCTTTCTCCCAGGCGCCATGTCTTCTACTTGTATCACCAGTGGAAGCAGGATCAGCATCCCTGCAGCGACGGAAGAGAGAGCGAGTTAAACCTCCTGGGTACCAGCGACCCGGCAGGCAGCCGGCAAACGGGTGCCAGCCTTGAAGACAGCCGTGTGGACAGGCGTAGGCACGTTGGCGTACCGATGGAGGTGGACGGGGTTTCCTTTCCCGACCATGACAGCAAGCGTCTCAGGAGAGGAGGCCTTCTGCCCAGCCTCCAAAATGAACACACCTTTATCAACAGCACACTGAACAGCAGCTGTAACCCGGAGCAGAAGAACTTTGCTCTGGTATACAGGAAGTGGTTGGATACCGTGGTTAGTGCACAGTCTTAAGCCGCGTAAGATCTCGGCCCGTAAGTTCAACACTAAAGTGGCTTTTAGATACAAGTAGGAATAACGTGCTTACCTGTAGAGCTAATTCAACATGGAGTTAGTTTCAGAAGTAGAGAGCGCACAGCTTTGGACGCGGTTCCTCAGAGGTGCCATTTGATCTGAGCCACCGAAACCTGCCTCCGCGGAGCCTGTTGGCGAACAACGCGTCCGTCTTCTTCATGTGTTTCAATGCCTTGGCTAACAATCGTGTTACTCCTCAGACTTCATACGTGGAAGAAAATCCGACTTGAATTTGTCGGCGTAGCAGAATAAACTCAGACCAGAATGTTGCAGCTGAAGAACCGGTCTTACTAACTAGTTGTTTGACTTTTATTGTGTGAAATTCAAAAATAGCAAACGAGTAGAGGAATTTAAATTAAATGAAAATTTTCACCGGTTCTGTTTTTTCCACAGTTTTAGTATGTTTCATGTTACTGGAACCAGTATCTTCTGGAATCTCTGTTCTTCAAGCTGCATTTTAACCCTTCAGCTCTAAAGAAGAACATTTAAGACAACAGGGTCGGTGTTTTTGTTTAGTTTTTTTTTACCTTGAAACCTACTGAGCTCATGTCACATCCTTTTCCACATGTATGAACAATATATCCTCTGATTGCTTTTTAATAATGGTAAACATAATGGCAAAGTCAATAATTTACAATAAAAGTTTACCCTCTTGTAGATTTAGTTCATGTTTTGGGGTATATTTTTTATTTTTTGTAATAATGCATCGATGGGACGTACGTGTAGAAGATACGTGATTTGTGGTTTTCAAAAAATCTAAGAAAACCGAAAAATTGGAAAATGTTCATTTACGGATGTTTTTTCAAAGTTTCATTTTTTGTTTGTTTTGTTTTTCTTCATGTTCTTCACTTTAAACACAGTGGGAAAAAATTGATTCCATTTATATATTTTGCCTGAACACACTTTAAAATGAAAAACATCACTGAGCCACGTCTTCAGTCAGGGGCTTCTCTGAGCTTCTGTACACAGACCACTACAGGTGATCCCTCCTCCCATCAACATCTACGACAAGTTTTTGAAAGAATTGAATAATGAAATCTTAAATCAACCATTGCCTTCACAGGTATAGGTTTAATTTAAATCTATGATAGAATTTAAGATTTTACACCTCAAAAAGTTAATCCTTTGTAGATCTAATAACCCTCTTATGCATAGTGATCACTACAGTGTCCAATTGTTTGAAAATGTTTTTTTTTTTCTATATATATGCATTCAATATTAGGCACTGTTGCTACCCGATCCGTACCGGTAGCACGATCCGTACTACCGTTGACGTCATTTTTCTGGAATAAAAATCAAAATTTTCGGGAAATGTTCCCTTATCAATGAAAAACTGCAGGTCACGAAAGGTAGCAAATGAATCCATTGTGGGATCAGTACTGCTGGAGTGCATAGTTAAGTACAGAGTAAATCAAATATTTAAACAAATTTAAATATATACGCTGTGTGAAGTATATTTGCGCATGCTCGGAGCAGTCAAAGTAACTTTTTTATGTATTTCTGTTTTTTTATTTTTAGAAAATGCAATATTGACGAAAATACAAAGATATACAAAAAGAAACCCATGCCTCTAAAAAATACAAAAGAATAAAAAAAGTAAGAAAATGAAATATTGCCACCGGAAGTTATTCTGTTTGCGCACGCGCAAATGAGCTGATGGTACGGATCGTGCTTCCGGTACGGATCGGGTAATGACAGGGGGAAAAAGTCAGTGAAACCAAGCTGGCTGACACACAGGGGGAAAAGACCACAGAGGAGCAGAGGAACCACCATTCCAACTGAATACCATAATACAACTCTAAAACTAAATTACAACTATGGGCCGGATTTATCAAGATCCAATTTTGCGTGCAGTAATTTGCGCTCGCAAACTGGAATTTTGCGCGAGGGGCTGAACCATGGTTTGCGGGTGATTTAACAAGAGGGATTGCGTAACTGGTGGCAGGTGCAAAACTGTTGGAGACGCCCTATTTAAATGATGGTTTTGCGCGTTTTGTGGTTTGCGGCAAAGTAGTTTGTAGTTTGTGCAAACTAGTGCATTAAGAAATTTTAATCTTACAGTGACACCCCACCCCCTCCAAAAAAAAAAAAATTATATATATATATAAACTTTGGCAACCTTTATTTCCTAAGGTGGTATGTGGCTGAATTTCTACTTCACTGCAGTAAAAAAACAACAACAAAAAAAACAGGTGTTTTGTATTGGCCTGTAGAAAAATGCACATATACCAAATGGCTCACAATGGGACTGTGGATGCGATGACTGTGCGCACGCATCCCCGCAGCATTGGCATGTTGCTCCACAGGCGCAGAGGTCTGGTTTCTCCGTTAGGGCATCAGGGCGACATGGCATTTAGAACGTCGGATAGCACTTCTGAAAAACTAGATTGGGAGATCCCAGATGCAAAAAAGTGCAACGTTGCAAGGAGTTTTGTGATATCTGATATTGCGTGGGTCCTCCTTGTGGCTGGCTCCAAATCCATTCGGAGTTCCCCCAACAGCTCCAAAATGGCAATGCTGGATAAACGATATGTTTTGATGATCGTTTCCTCGTTCATTCCAAAAATATTCACACGGAGTGAAAAAATGCGTTCTCTGCGTCTCCTTGCTTCATTTCCATGTCTCCTTCTTGCGACAATAACCGCTGCCATGTGTGCGCAATTACGCATACAGACCATTTGCACCTTCTTTTGAAACGTGTTAAATATAGAGTCGGATACCGTTAGCAAAATTGCTTTCAGGTTTGATAAATCACTTTGCGAGTGCTAAATTAATATATTTACATGTTCTCCTCCCACAAGACGCACTTTTGCGTGTAAATGCCCCATATTGCATATTCATTGCAGAAAAAGTACTAAATGGATAAGAGGCGCTATTTAGCATGTTTTAAAGACCAAATCCTTTTAGCACGCTGTTGATAGATCAGTTTGTACATTTTTTTAGCGTGCACAGTGAAATAGCTCACGTTTTTATACACGCAAACCTTTGATAGATCATGCCCTATGTCTACCCACTACTTTGTTGGTGTATTGATTTTTTTTACATTATAAAATCCATAAAGTACGCTTGATTTGACAGATAAATATTTCTCTATAGAATAAAGATAGAAACCTTTTTTCAAACCTTGTTTTACATTCCTAAGGATGTATAGACTTAGACAACTTTTGTCATTTTGTATACATAGAGTGTACACAAAACGTAATTTCTTTTAGTACAGATTTCATGACAATTCCATTTCTTGAAGTGCAGCAGCGATCAGATGTAAACAGTGGGAGAAAAACATGGTGCAAATAAACGCATTGATATGGAGGTTTAGAGCTTTATATATATGGTGCAAATATGCAGTGTTTTGGTTTGTTATCAGTGTGATGCAGAGTCTGTGACTCTGCATCACACTCAGCTGTCTGATGGCGGTGGACCTGCATCGGATGCTTCAAAGCCTCTTCCCAGAGGGCAGCAGTGAGAACAGTCCATGGTGGGGGGGTGAGGGGTCATTGATGTTTAAAAACACGTAGAATAAATACCCTGAGTTTATAATAAATCATGAATGAAAGGTTTAAGCTGATTTTACATATTTCCTCTGTTGTTTTGATGCTCTAACTTCAGTGAGGTGTTCTAAGTACAGGTGCTGGTCATAAAATTAGAATATCATGAAAAAGTAGATTTATTTCAGTAATTCCATTTAAAAAGTGAAACTTGTATATTATATTCATACATTACATACAAACTCATATATTTCAGATGTTTATTTTGTTTAATTTTGATGATTACAAATGACAACAAATGAAAATCTCAAATTCATCATATCAGAAAATTAGAATATTACTGAAGACCAATAAAAACAAAGGATTTATAGAAATGTTGGCCAACTGAAAAGTATGAACATGAAAAGTATGAGCATGTGCAGCACTCAGTATTTAGTTGGGCCTCCTTTGGCCTGTATTACTGCAGCAATGCGGCGTGGCATGGAGTCGATCAGTCTGTGGCACTGCTCAGGTGTTATGATAGCCCAGGTTGCTCTAATAGTGGCTTTTAGCTCTTCTGAATTGTTGGGTCTGGTGTATTGCATCTTCTTCTTCACAATACCCCATAGATTTTCTATGGGGTTAAGGTCAGGAGAGTTTGCTGGCCAATTAAGAACAGGGATACCATGGTCCTTCAACCACGTACTGGTAGCTTTGGCACTGTGTGCAGGTGCCAAGTCCTGTTGGAAAATGAAATCTGCATCTCCAAAAAGTTGGTCAGCTGCAGGAAGCATGAAGTGCTCTAAAACTTCCTGGTATGTGGCTGCGTTGACCCTGGACCTCAGAAAACACAATGGACCAACACCAGCAGATGACATGGCACCCCAAACCATCACTGACTGTGGAAACTTTACACTGGACTTCAAGCAACGTGGATGAAGTGCCTCTCTTCTTTTCCTCCAGACTCTGGGACCTTGATTTCCAAAGGAAATGCAAAATTTACTTTCATCAGAGAACATGACTTTGGACCACTCACCAGCAGTCCAGTCCTGTTTCTCTTTAGCCCAGGCAAGACGCTTCTGACGCTGTCTGTGGTTCAAGAGTGGCTTGACACAAGGAATGCGACAGCAGAAACCCATGTCTTTCATACGTCTGTGTGTGGTGGTTCTTGAAGCACTCACTCCAGCTGCAGTCCACTCTTTGTGAATCTCCCCCACATTTTTGAATGGGTTTTGTTTCACAATCCTCTCCAGGGTGCGGTTATCTCTCTTGCTTGTACACTTTTTTCGACCACATCTTTTCCTTCCCTTCGCCTCTCTATTAATGTGCTTGGACACTGAGCTCTGTGAACAGCCAGCCTCTTTAGCGATGACCTTTTGTGTCTTGCCCTCCTTGTGCAAGGTGTCGATGGTCGTCTTTTGGACAACTGTCAAGTCAGCAGTCTTCCCCATGATTGTGTAGCCTATAGAACTAGACTGAAAGACCATTTAAAGGCTTTTGCAGGTGGTTTGAGTTAATTAGCTGATTAGAGTGTGGCACCAGGGGCCATCAATTTTGAACCTTTTCACAATATTCTAATTTTCTGATATGATGAATTTGAGATTTTCATTTGTTGTCATTTGTAATCATCAAAATTAAACAAAATAAACATCTGAAATATATGAGTTTGTATGTAATGTATGAATATAATATACAAGTTTCACTTTTTAAATGGAATTACTGAAATCAATCTACTTTTTCATGATATTCTAATTTTATGACCAGCACCTGTATTTGAATCTGGAAGGCCTCCATCTTATTCGAGTCTTTGTCCTCGAATAGACTATCAGGTTCGGCGTCATTATTACCTCTGGTTGAAATAAGCATAAATATTAAATAAAAATCTTAGCCTGCCTGTGGTGAGTGATCATGGACACAGCTGTACACTCAGCCACCATTAGTGATGTCTGGCTCAGCTCTTTCCCACATTGAGACCAAAGTGGATGGGTCTAGCTTTTAGTGAACACTACAAAAGTGAACGAAAAGTAAAATGTTTTTCAAAATAAATGTATTTATACCTGATTTGAGTAAAATTGGCCTAGTTTATTTTATACGATTTTCGCACCCAAATAACACGTCCTAGACCTTACTGAATGAAATGTTCCCAATTAATACTTGGTACAAAGTTGTTTGTGCTGGCAACAGAAATCACACATAAAT